AGGCCACAAGCCAGAAGAGAACCAGGTGTCGAGCACATCTTCATCTTGCTTAAGAGTGAATTTGGCATCGGGACCTGCCAATCTTCGGGCGCGCTCTTCTGCCTCGGCAAGATTGCGACCCACTACCCACTGGCTGGAATCGTCTTGCTGCAGGAATATCCAAGGGCCGTTAGAACAATGCAGGATTCTTCGTGCACAAGTCACGTACTCACATTCTGATCCTTGCCCTCTATATCTACAAAGTAGGCTGGGCAGCGGTGTCCCCACCACAGTTGTCGAGAGATGCACCAATCCTGAATGATGTCCATCCACCTGAAGAACTCTCTTTTGCTCGTGTCCGGCACAATGGTCATCTTCTGCTCTTCCACAGCCTTCACAGCTTCATCAGCAAGAGGTTTGCAGCTGACCCACCATTGCGGCTTGATGAGTGGCTCCACGATATCGCCCGAGCGGCTGCACACTGGGACCGACATCGGGTTGTCCTTGGTCTCGACATATAGCCCCTTGGCTTTCAAGGCTTCGACGACGGTCCGCCTAGCAGTGAAGCGCTTGACGCCCGCAAATTCTCCCGCATTGTGATTAAGCGTGCCGTCATCGTTGAGAATGTTGATGAACTCCAGATTGTGCCTTTTGCCAACTTCGTAATCGTTGGGATCGTGCGCGGGGGTGATCTTGACGGCACCAGTTCCAAATTCCATGTCGACAGCAATCTCGTCAGTGACAACAGGAATGCGGCGATATGGAAGAAACGGATGGAGGAGGTGTTTGCCGTGCAAGTGGGTGTATCGCGCATCCTTGGGGTGGACAGCCACGGCGCTATCACCGAGCATGGTCTCGGGACGAGTCGTCGCTACGACGAGACGCTCGCCTGTCGGGGAGTCTGCTACCTCATAGGCGAAGCTGACAATCACTCCAAACTCGATCCTCTCCTTCTCGTCGTAGCCAGGGATGTTGAGTAGCGTCCGCCCGCTCAATTGCTTTTGGTCGACCTCGAGCGTTGATAGGGTAGTGTTGAGCTTGCAGCACCAATTCACCAGTCTGCTGGCTCTGTAAATGATGCCCTCCTCGTGCAATTTGCAGAATGCTTCCACGACAGCCTTCGATCGAGTTTCGTCCATCGTGAATGCTTCTCTGCTGTAGTCATAAGATGCGCCCAGACGACGTGTCTGACCGCCGATGCGGCCTTTGTAATCTTGGGACCAATCGTACACGCGACGCAAGAATTCCTCGCGACCATATTGATGTCGGGTCTTCCCTTCCAGCTTGAGCAGCCGCTTCTCCACCACGGCTTGAGTGCTGATAGAAGCGTGATCGTAGCCGGGATTGAAAAGTACGCGCCAGCCTCGCATGCGGTACCATCTGATGAGCGTGTCTTGAATGGAGATGGTCAATGCGTGACCGATGTGGAGCGCTCCAGTGACGTTGGGAGGTGGCGCTGGGATCACAAACGTCTTATTGGGGTCGTGAGGATCGGACTCGCTGGGTTCAGCAGGCTTAAAGAAGCCCGAATTTTCCCACCACTCGTACCACGACTCCTCCACATGCGAAGGGTTGTAGCCAGACTCCATGGGCCCAGAGAGATCTGTAAATTGCAGCCGTGCAGACAGTGCTCATGAGCTAAGTCATCCGCGTGTATGCTGCACGTCCACGTGCTCACCTTTCCTTTCTCCCGATTTGGTATTGTTGACCCACTCCTCCTCGACCGCCTTCTCCTTCTTTGCCTTTGCTTTCTTGCCCTCTCCGGCGGCTGCACCTGCGGCTGCGGCAGGGTTGTTGGCAGCTCGAACAGCTTGCTTGGCAGCAGACTTTGCCAGTCTCTCGGCTTCCTTGGCTGCCTTTTTCATGGCAGACTTGGTCATTGGTTTGTCTCCGTCTTGCGGATCGACGGGAGGGGCGCCTGCTGCCGCAGGGGAAGCAGCGGCAGCATGCTCGCCGGCAGGAGGCTGAACTTTGTCAGACATGGTGCGAGCTCCTCGACAGGGGATTGTCAACGAAGGAGGCGGTCGCCTTCTAGGCGCTAGGGCACCGAGTCTGGAGGCAGGAAGACAAGAAG